TTCTGTTGTATTTTCCAAATTATATTCCAAAGTTTTATTGAAGTTAAATTTCACAAGCCACTGCAAACAATTAGAGAAAAGAGGTCAAAAAATAGGCTGACTGCCTGTACTAAGAGGATAAAAGAAGAATTTTTATCAAGACGAAAATGTTAATTTGAGTGACTACCTTATAGAAAGTCTTGAAATAAATCTTAATTAGCTTTAAGGTAATAATAAGGGATGCAATGAAAGGAATCTTGATAAGAAAAATGTTTTATAGAGATCAATGCTTCGTTGAAATAACCTAATTGAGAACAAAGAAAAACTGATTATAAACTAGGGTCAGTGACTAGACGCATAACTAAGAGTCAATGTAATTATTTACGGTTGTCTGGATTCATAACATCATTATATAACCAAGATGCTGCAAAATACAGAAGTTATGAGATTTAGTGTTGACAGGGTCAGTGGTGTTAGAACTAAGGTATTTAGTGAAATAAGCATTAAGGTAACCAATAACAGTTTTACGGACAGAGAGATAAAAAGAAAAAGATTTGATCACTTTGATCAGAAATTATACTTGAGCACATACTTGAAAAGAGGGAGAAAGAAAAAGTGCAAAATAAAGAGGGTTAATTAAAATGATGCTAAGCCGAACCACATAAAAGAATGGTCGGATGATACAAACCTAATTTTTTCAATTAATTAAAGAATTTTTGAGTAGCTAAAGACCCATACCAAGCAATAATATTGGAGTCTTTGCAATTCAATAGATAATATTTACCAATACTGAGATAAAAAAACATTTTATTTTAAATTAACCTCATGAAGAGCAAGCAAGCCTGTCAATTTTTTCAAGTCATAAGGATAAATTAATTAAAAGTTAATTTTTAAAGACCACAAATATTCGTAAAAAATTTATAAAAAAAGTTGATTGTTTTTTATGTTTAATGTTTTGAATCATTTTTGCCATTATATAAGTCATAGTAAACTAGAATCATAAATAGATCAAGCAATACATCCTAAGCAAGGAGAGTTATTACACAGCTGCTTATGGATTTAACCTCTCTCGTAGTTATCAAAAAGTTTTGTAAAAGTTACTGCTAACAGGTCTCATAACCAATAAAGTGAGTGTCAGTGCTCTACTTTCTTTAGGAAATAACAGGTAGAGTTGCATTGCCACTATTAAAGAGAAACATCCAAAAAGTTTTGATAAGAAATAAGAAGATCTAGCAATCATTTTCCTAGAAAGAAACAATGTAACACAAGTTAACATTTACACAAGCCTAGTAGATAAAGCAAGGGTGCATGACTGGTGAACTGAATTATTCTGTTTAATTAAAAACATTTTTACATTTTAAGTTTTAAATTTATTATCAATAGTTATCATTAAAATGAAAAAAGAGGAGTTAATTAGAGACAAAATGTGGAGTTCTTTACTTTACATGGCTGGTAATATTCCAAACTAATTTTTGCACGAGGATTTGGCATATCAGAGTACTGTGTGCAAGAAACAATGAAAAAAAAAAAAAAAGAATTTTCATGCCTTAAACAATATAGAAGACCTTGTTTTACCACAAAAAAGGAGAACGCGTAGCTATTTATGAGTTCTATGTTAAATAGTCAACAGACTGCACCAGAATACCTATTGATTTCAATACCAGTTTCACTGATTCACCAGAACACCTATTGATTTCAATACCAGTTTCACTGAGCGCTACAACCGTTTACTGACTTTTGCTACATGTTAGTCTCAGAGGTTGTATTGCGATAATAAAATCACATCTGACCAAAGTTTATCAACAGAAACAATTAAATAGGGCCAAAGAATACATAGATTGGACACCTGATGACTAATATAACTTTATTTGGTTGATCTATAAATGAAATTTTAGCAACAAACCTTGCTCCTTTGTTCGCCATTGATCTAAAGAATGGATACTGCCTGGTTTCATACTGCAAATGATAAAACATATAGGTGGTAGCATTGCTGGTTAAAGTTGCTTTGGTTGGTCGGAAAATTTGGAAAAAACAAGTGACCGGTCGGAAAACTTGGAAAAAATATTTTAAAAAATGACAATGTTGGTCTATTTGCATCCTTTGGAATTACAAGTTTTAGATTATAAAATATTTTAGTGAGTAACTCGTTTTCGAACAAGACAATGATCCAAAACATTTAGCAAATGTCGTGAAGGATTATTTACAAAAAAAATCTTTACTCTAAGGCCGGAGTACTAACGTTTTTACTACTTTAGGATTATCTAGACATGGAAGTGCAAAAAAACCTCCAAAGAATTAATTTAGAATAATTTGAATGCTATTGAGGTAAATATTGAAAACTGCTGTGTAATAGATTACCGAGTATTTTTCAAGTCTATCCATTAATTCTTGAAGTGGTCGTATTGATGAAAATGCAATTTCATTTCAAGAACTTAATTTTAATTAGTATTAGGTTTTTATGGAAAGTGAGTAAATTATAAAACAACATTAGGCGTATATTAGGGTGCGTTGGAAAACAGAAACTTTTCAAAACTGTCTCGTAATAGCACTAAATATATGTAACATGTTTGGAATAAAAAATGTTTGGAATAAAAAATATATTATTTAAAAATATTTTTAAGTCAATTGACCATTTGCAGGGTCCCTAATATTTTTGAAAAAAAAAAGTTTTACAAAAGTAGGTCACCTGGTACTCAAAAGAAGCGAAATTTTATAAAACGTTTGAAAGTATTTGTTTTATGTAAAAATTATTATTTTGAATTTTATTGCATAATAACTATGGTTTTTTATTATGATATAAAAATAGTGCATTTTTACAAGTTTTTCAATAATATTGTTTTCTATATGTTTTTTAATTAAACAATTATTATATTTGAACTTTTTTAAAAATTACAATTTTTTTTTTTTAAATTACAATTTTTTTTAGGTTTTATTCTTCCGAATAAAACCTAAAAAACTTTTGAATAATGAAAGCGCTGTAATAAAGCTTATCAATGCTGATTTTCATAGTTAAAAAATAAAACGGTCTCAAAAATTGTTTCGAAAATCAAGAGGAGAAGAAAATTCAGTATAAGTGTTATAAAGGCTACTGCTTCTTTGTAACAAATCTGCATTGTAGTAAACACAAAAAAACTGGGACTAGTTTGCATATTCAGTTGGTGCAATGCTTATGGTATGTTTAAAAAGTATCAATTGACTTGAAGAGTTATCCAATTGATTTTAAAAAAGAAGAGGTAGGATCAACACAAGATGGAGCAATCAACTAAAAATGTTTAAAAATTGTCAAGATTAATGATTTACATTATTTAATATTGGCATTCACTTAGGAATAACT